GACGCTCGAGGAGACAGACTCACAAACGACCCAGTACGACTTGCAGGTAGGTGACCTGCTCCACTTGTGCTCAGGGCTTCCAATCTGCTGTAAGTCTCCCAGGTTTAAATACAGCAGACAACCGAGGTTACCAGAACCTGAGAGGAGCCCCTAACCAGAAAACAGAAACAAAAATAGAGAAAAAAGAAGAAAAGAGAAGCTCTCTAGGAAGAAGAAAACCTAACAGATGTTGCAAACATACACAGCCCACAAAGTGGACGTGTCAGGTAATTAAGGTGGGAAGAACCCCCAAGAGAGCCCAGCACAAGAGATAAAAGAGACCCAGACCATGCCTAGGCACTTCGTCAGGAAATGTACAACACGGGAGACAAAGATTCGACAAACTTCCAGGAGAGAGAAACCAGGGATCATCATGGCTTCAGAATTCTCTGCAGTAACAAGAGAAGTTCAAGGGAACAGACAGCGCCTTCTAAATTCTGCAGTGAGCGATTTCCAGCGTAGAACGCTCACTTGACCCAAGTCTAAAATGTGAGGGGGGCCGGCTGAGTGGCTCAGTTGGTTAAGAGCTCACTCAAGAGTTTGAGCTCTGAGCAACAGCGGTTCGAGTCAGCCCAAGCTGAGCAACCGCTGAGCTGCCAACAGGTGGCAGGATGGCTCAGCTAAAAAAAAAAAAAAAGTGAGGGTAGATGAGGGCGCTCAGACGTCTACATCTCAAAAAAGCCTCCTCTGCACCTCTTCTCTGGAAGTTGCTGGAGGGCGGCCTCTACCAAAAGGGGGACACAGGAAGCTGCACAAAAGAGCAGAGGCTAAAGCGACTCCCCAGGGAGAAGGTGAACAGGGTCCAGGAATGACCCTGGGCACCAGGAAGTCAGTAGGAACTGGGGGTGATTTCTTACGGGGGATGGAGCTGATATAAGTTCTGACATTTCTAAATACACCAAGCGGACATTTGATGGCTGATAAAGAACATGAAGCTTAGAAAAAGAAAGGTTAACATTCCAACGCGTTTAATTGTATATTGTTTTCACGGATTTAACACCACATGCTATGTGATCTCTAGTCAACGTGAAGACATATAATATTGGGGAAATGAGTAGAAACCCACTGTGGTTGGGTAAGTGGGTGGGGGGTGGAAAGAGGGTTACAGTCTCATTTTCCACAGGAAATCAACAGATCTTGTCCCAAACTGAATAACCCAGCTAGAGAAATAAAAGTACATTATTTGGAGACATGGAAGGGAAACTGGAAAACAATAAGTTAAAAGAGGTGTAAGGCGTCGCCTCTGCGAAGAGGAAAATGAGACAGGAAGGCAGAAGAACCCTACTTTAGGTAAAAAAAAATTAAAAACATAAAACTGTTTAACATTCTATAATGTATATATACATGGTGAAACTGATACGAAAGCCCCAAACTAAAAATAAACGAACAAAAAATAAACAAGACTAACCTAGAGTAAATCCACACACTTTACAACATATACCGAAGGTCAGAGAATAGCGTTTAATTCCTATGCATTTCCACGTGGCACTTGCTGCAGACTGACAATCAGTTCTGAGCATCAGTGGGAGAGGCCTGGAGGCGGGAAGTGGAGGCTAAGACCCCAAGGCCATTAACAGCTGAAGTCACAGACAACCAGGCCACTGGAGGGTGCATCAAAAAATAAATCAGGGCAAGAAACAACGTGTCTCTGTGTGAACCACAGGTAGAAAGAAAGCAGAAGACTCAATGTGATTTAGATGTTAGGCTCTTTTTTGATCTCAGCCCTTCTGTACACTAAGTGATCTTGGAATTCTAGGTCAAGGCTTTCTGCTTTCTCTCCAAAGGGTACTAAGATAAAGAAGAGGCTCTTTAATTACAGCAAACATTCATTAACACAGCAGTGTCTCAAATGCATAAGCCTTATCTCTAACAGATTTACTATGGAATTTCACCACCCACTAAACACTAATGCAAAATATGCCTCCTAAATTGTGACATAAGGGTTTGTTTCCTTGCATTACTATCCTTAGATATTAGGGCAAATATAAAGAGTAAAAATAATCTGACATCTCAATTACCGACAAAACTCATCATGATAAAGTGTTAATCTTGTTATTTCTATGTATTTGCAAATGAAATGTACTGAGTATCTCACTAGGGAAGGCAAAATCTCCATTAAGTCAAGTGTGTTCAATATTTTATGGTCAAAACACAGCTAATAGTTTCTTAGAGAACATTCAAACCCTGAAACCATCTCAAAATGGAATTATGAAAAAATAAAATTATGCATTATTTAAGATGTAAGTATCAAAAGCAAACTTTGAACGTATATCCCCGATAGGATATGCTGTAAAGCAGCCATTTAAAGGGTTCTCTGCCAAGGCATTTTAATTGAAGTTACGGTGTAATAATTTATTAGAAGATTGGAGAATTCTGGAGACAGCTGAAGCTTAGCTATAATGCCATACAGACCTCTCAGTTTTGCATTCTGCAGAGCTGAATCAGAAGAGGCTGTGACATGTCTAAAGTCACACGTCTACCACGTTTTAGCACACTTTACAGAGAATTTAAATAGACCTTTGAAGGGCACCAATTTTAGAACACTATTTCTTCTGATAACTTAAAGACTAGTTTACTTTTCTTCGTATAACACATGGCGCGACCCACAGCCTACATGGACGTATATTAAGAAACACGATGTGTGGCTGTTTAATGAACTCTAATAATATTTTAATTCATATATGATTCATACATAAGGCAGAGCAAAGAAAACATAGTGTTTGCAGTTGAATAAGCTCATTAATTAATATCCATTTTCCATTAGGCACACATTTCCTCACAGTGAGTCTTGACTCTTTGTCTTAAACCCGCCTGTGCCCTCCTAACATCACCTGTTTACATGAACAAGAAGAGTATGATTTATTAGGAAACGCAGCATAAATAATTGGTGAATGTATCCATAGCCACACAGAGTACTTTCTATCTTTTGTAATTTGGAAGAAATGAAGAGGAAAATTAGCCAGTCACTTGGAAAATCACCGAGGCGCCCTGTGGCTCCTTTTCCTGGGCCGCGGGAGGTAACAGAGAAAGATTATAGACAATAATTTTTCTAATAGGTAATATGAGAAACTATTAGGGAAAAATAAGGGCAAGGTAAATTTAGCAAATTCCGGGTACAGTTTTTCCTACATCCACTATTTTAATCTGGTTCGTCACCCCTACATGGACCCACATTTACCACAAGTCGAACTGTGGTTCCTTGAAACAGCACCACCGACAAGCAAGATAAAACAGCAGGGAAATCAGACGCCGAGGCTTCGCCTGAGTGAGGGACACCTTGAAATCCCACCAGGTCCCGGAGGACTGGCTGCAGGAGCCGGTCAGAGCTGTGTTCCGCCTCCCAGTTCTGCCGGCATTCTGGCAGGGAGGGGAGGAGGCAGGCACCGCCCCGCTGGGGAAGGAAATGGATGGGGGCCCCCCCCCGAGTCGTTTAAGTCCCCTGAAGAGAGAAGACCAGGAGAGCAAAGGCCCCTCCAGGAGAAGAGGGTCCCCAGAGCCAGGTAGGGACTGCTCATGCTGTGGCTCGGGGCTGGCAGAGGGCTTTCTGAAGGTGTGAATTTAAGTGTAAAATAGGGCTGTCAATCATCGGGGTGAATGAGAACACTGGGCCAGCGTCCAGTTTGGGTTCTACACTAGGAACAGCTGAGGGAGTGAGAATGGGGTGAGCTACTGGGAAGCTGTGGACGCCCAAGAAGTGACTTGGGGAAATGCTTTGAGGACTTTTTCCCTCCAGATCCAGTTGCTGAAGGAGCTACTGGGACCAGAGGAGAAAACGTTGGGGGACCTCTTATCAGTGTTTGAAAGGCAACAACAGTCCATTGGGCAGGGAGACAAAAGCACCCTGCGGAGCCCCAGGCCCGCCTTCTCAGGCAGGTTGGAGCCCCTGGCCCCACCAGCCTCGTCTGAACTCCAGCATCATCAGGGCTGCTATGCAAACGCACAAGGTCAGGCCAGAAAGATCTGTACAACGGTGACTCTCAGGCAGAAAAAGGCAGACATCCCCAAATCCTGAGCAGCAAAGAGGCCTTTTACAAGTCAGCGGCCAGGAAGGACGTCCTGTCTGTAAAACGCACAAACCAATCCTCCCCTGTGCAAGCCCACCCCTTCCCCCATTCCAGTGAGAAGACAAAATCAGGAAGCCACATGATTATTCACAGGGAGGATTCCGAATACTGAAAAAAATCTAGGAATATTCCTATTTGTGAAAAATAATTCTGCAACTTAGGAAACACTTCTAGTTTTTTGTTGTTTTTTTCATTGTTAATCTGTTCATGAAATAATAATACTTTAGTGATTTCAGAATGTTTTTTTGATGAAACAAAAATATTGATTCATGTTTTAGGAATGGAAAAACAAGTTAAAAGATAAAATAGGCATCAGGGCTTGGAAAGGGGACAATTTCGCACAAATGTGACAACCAGGTCTGCCTACCTCTAAAGACATAACCACCTTAAATATACTGGGGATGCCAAAAATATGTATACATATGACTTGTATTCATCTTTTGTTATCGGTATACATTAAGTATTACAATTTTAATAGTTTTTTCCTTTCTTAAAATGTGTATACATTTTTTTGTCACCCTCTGTATGTAGTTTATTTCTAGAAATCAAATGTCACTGAGCTGAATATATTTCCAAAGATGCAAACTGTCATTAAAATGGCAATAAATTAAGAATTATACCTGCATTCCTGAAATGCACCCATTTGGTCATGATATGACACACTATTTTGATAAACTGCTGGACTTATATTATTAATAGTTCATTCTGAATTTTAAATCATATTCTGGTCAACATCAGAGGGATTGGACAAGAGAGGAGATGGTTAATTTAACTTTACATACTCTTCTATTACATAAATGGTCAAAATGAGCATTAATTATTTTTTAATTCAAATGATTGAAAAAAATTTTTACAAGACCAAGACTGAAAGTTTTAAAAAATCAAGAAATCACGTACCTGAATAATTATTCCATTCAATTTTTCTAGAGATTTCTGATTTTCCTGAGATTTATCCAGAAGTGAAGCGATTGTTGGACTGCGGCATGAATTTGTTTTATCCTTTTCCCGAAGACACCTTTTTGCTTCTTCAGCCAAGAGGACAGAGAGGAACTGCAGGCTGGCAGTGCACAGGGTGGGGCACGTGGCAGCCAGCCCCACACATGTGCAGAGCATGTCTAGAAGAAGAAGAATTCCGTATGTAAATGTTTGGAAGTTTCCTCAAAGTAACAGAAGTCAGGCAGATTGATCTGAGTAATTTCTAGTGAAGTCACGCTACCAATGGTTCAGCTATCACAAGAATAACTCCTGTGTTTCAAAGTAATTAAACGGTACTAAGACAACATAATGAATCAAGGAATCTACTTCCTTTTCATTTTCTTTTTTATATGAGCTCTTTTTTATATGAATGTATATGTGCGTACACACACATGTACAAATGCACTTATACACAATATTGGCTAAGACCCAAAATAAGAGGACTATGTACAGATGAGCATTGATCCCTCTGGGATCTACTGGGATCTACAGTCTCTAGAGTTTTCAACTTCTTCATTTCTATTTCAGTGCTAATCTAAAAAAAAGTAATGTAACTAGGGCTGGCCAAGTGGCTCAGTTGGTTAAGAGCTCGCGCAAGAGTGCGAGCTCTGAGCAACAGTGGTTCGATGTCCAGCCCAAGCTGAGTTGCCGCTGAGCTGCCAACAGGTAGCAGGATGGCTCAGCTGAAAAAAAAAAAAAAAAGTAATGTGACTATAGTCTGGATTACCTAGATTACCACCTTGTAAGTGTGACTGTGTTTCTGCATCCAGCAAGTTGATGCCAAACTACTTAAAGCAGGATTAGTGTACAGCGTCGGCACGATGGGGAAGAAGGGTGTCGTGGCAGCTCAGGCACAGGGTAAGAGTGGTGATGAACCCATCTGCAGATATAATCGAGCGGGAAAGACGGGCGAACCAACGCAAAAGAATCTGCACTGAATCGGCCATTCATTTCCTGTTGTGAGAACTGAGCTCATCTAATCATCAAAAGCACATTTGCTGCATTACATTAATTTTATTAATTTGATAGCGCTGGTTTATAATTTTGTTTTATTTTTTTATATTATTTTGGATTCATACTTGTGTTTGAGTTAATAACCAGAGAATTTCTGGTTATATCTAGATTTAGATTATAGGAATTCTTATGTTCTTAAGTAATGTAAGAAAAATAATTTAGTCAGCATGGGGTTTCAGGAGAATTATGTTCATTTACGTCTAAATATTAGTCAACTTTGAGAAAATACTGTTATAGACAATGTAAGTTACAGAGTGACCTTATGATATTTTAGATGTGTATGGGGATGAAAAACAAGTAACTCCATGGCAAGGAATACCAATAATCATTTTTATTAGCTATGTTTTCATTAACATGACTATTACCAAAGCTAACTGTTTATGTAGTAGGTAGTTTTTGACTGGCACCATTATTATATAGAACTGCATGTGTGTGTTGTATAGATTTGAATGTAGTATGTTTATTTCATCGCTAGGAAAATAGGGTTAGATCAACAGGCTTAAATCAGGGGTCAACAAACTTTCCCTGCAAAGGGCCAGAGAGTAAATAAACATTTTATGCTTTGTGGGTCATAGGCCTTTGTCACAACTATTCAACTCCACCATCATGACATGAAAGCAGCCCTGAGCAGTAAGTAAATGAGTCAGTGTGGCCATATTCCTATAAAACTGTTTGTCAAAACAGGCAGTGGACCAAGTGTGACCAGTGACTTGGATGTCTCATATGAATCCCATAAAGCATCTTGCTTTATAAGACTATCCCTCCCCAACACAGCCCAAGAAGAAAATCTCAATTTCAATCACTTTCTCAATCAATCTCTTTCCATTTTAATCTCTTTTAACAAAATAATGATCTCTAAATGGATATATTTCCCCTTAGGATAAATCAGAACTTCTATATCCAGCTACCTACCAATTGTGTTTCTTGTTCAACGTGTTATTTCCCCATAAGTCTTACTAAACTCTCACTCTGATTACAAAATGTATCATATATCTAATTTACAGAATGACTATATAAAATAAAACGTGAAAAAAAGTCAAATGAATTAGCGATAACTTGGAAACTTAAACTCAATTCTGAATACATTTAAACTGGTTATTTAAAAAAATGTAACAGAAATTTTATTTATAATCATTGCTATAAAAAAAGGCTTCCTGGGGCCGGCCAAGTGGCTCATTGGTTAAGAGTTGGCTTGGAAGTGTGAGCTCTGAGCAGCAGAGCTGCTGGTTCGGATCCCACATGAGGGCCAGTGACACTGCCCTCTACAGCTAAGATGCTGAACAACAGCTCGACCTGGAGCTGGGCTGCTGTGAGAGGCCAGTGATGGTGTAGGCTGCAGTGGGGCTGCCATAAGCTACCGTGAGTGGCTGGCAGCCAGCGTGAGTGGCCGTCCAATGGCTGGCAACCGATCTGGCTCACCCGGGAAGAGCGCAATGATGGTGCCAACATGGGCCAGTGAAGCAACGTCCTCCACAACTAGACTGAAGAACAAAAGGACAGCAACTTGTCTGTTCCCCTTCCCCAATTCCCCAAAGCTGTTCCCTCCCCCAATTTCCCAATAAAATCTTAAAAAAAAAAAAAGAGGCTTCCTACTATGTTAAAATTTCGAAGAAACTGAAAAATGCAAGACATTTAAAAATATCATTTATTAAAAAATAATAATTTGTTTATTCTAGCGGGCAACTATTATAAGGAAAACATAAAAATAATTAACCACACTGTACTCCTGAGATTTCTGTGCCATAAGAAAATCCTCGTGTCTTGAGATAAGATACTAGTTTTTGTAACTTTCCATGTTATCGTGCACACAGGCCTTGAGATGTGCAGAGTCACCCACTTCCAGTGCGTGCACACATGTGAGGAAAGAGAGTGGTTCTTACGCTAACGTAAGAAAATCTGCCTCATTGTTTTATAACCTTGTCATATGTGTCATCATTACACCACAGGCTTCTCTTACCTGTTTTTATGGTATCTTGAAATGTGTTTCAATTTTTCAAAAATACACTTTTTAGGCTCCTCAAGAACACTGCAAAATCTCAAAGCGAGTGCCTGGTATCTCTTTCATAGGCCATGCCATAAATACTTAATTTTAGAGAATATACTAGATCTAAAGTCGTAAATAATGCTTATCTTAACTTTTCTTTTTCATTAGCAGCAGAACCCCAAGCCTGGGGAGCGGGAGCGTGTCCGCTTACCGGTCACCGCCACCCAGTGCTCGGCCAGCCCCGTCGTCACGGATGGGAGCGAGGCAGAGGCAGCTTTCCTCAGGAGTGTGGCCAGCAGGTTAAATAAGTGTGTCCATGTCTGATAAAATGCCGATATTAACTCTACATCTATAAAATTAATCAGAACATTTTAAGTTATTAATTAACACAAAGACAAAAAGAACCTTTTAAAGTACAAAACTCACCAGACACTTCATTACACTTAAAATAAGAGGTATGCACTTGTCAAATGAAGAGAAATGTAGTACTTTGGCATAATCCAAAATGTACTTCAATTATTCTTTTCCATTGCTTCTTAAAGAAATCTCCCCTCCACCCTCCTACAAACAAATAAATATACACTCACACATTAAGTTATATTCAACAACACACAGAAAGTGTGACAAACTGAATATTAAATCCTAACTTCAGAACTACGTACTGTAAACCAGTTACAAACCATCGTAAAAACAAGTCACTGCTTGGGTGACTTCTATAAAAGCCAAGTTCCTCCTGTTTCCTTTACGCCCTCGGCGGCTGTGCGCAGGGATGGCAGGGACAGACAATGTGCCACGGTCACGGTCACGGCAGCAGAGAACTTCCTCGAGGGACCAGGAAGAGCATCGCCGCACAAGGGAGCTGGACACAAGAGGGCGTTGCAGTGCTGCCAGGGCTGACGCAGGCAGTAACCCTCCGGGGTGAGGACCGCTTCTCCCTCCTCTACTCGGCAAACGGGAGAGCACGGCAGCCGCAGTCTTAGGGCTGCCTTCTCCGTCAGCATCTGCCAGCTTTCGTCAAACTCCATCACCACGCACACCGCAGGACTCGTCTCGGGGTTCGTCGGCACCCGTGAGGCACCTGAAAACAGTACCTTCCAGGGAGCTTGGATTGTAACAATTCTCAGTGTTTCTCAGCCGTTTTGTTATTATAGGCTCCATGCGTGTCTTTTTAGACATGTTTTCTCATCCCCATCCCGATGAAATGTTAATTTCACAGATAGCATGTATCTGTTTATGTATTATCTATATATCTGTATTTTACATGTAAAAAGAGTAAGTGTAAAGTGATTATATTCAATACAGGCTTAAAAGAACCAAATAAAATATTTAAGTTTGAAGTTAAATTAAAAATTCAAAAGCTATTAACATTTGACTTTATAACTGTGCTTGCTGAATAACTTCTAATGTAACTTATTTATTCACATACATTAAAATGTAGCAAATTATATATGAAAATTGCAAATCGCACAAATACATATACTAGAAATATAATCAATTCTATATAAAATTATTCAACTTTTATTTTTCCAGAAAAAAATTTAACTTTTTAAAAAATATTTCAGTGAACTTTTAACTTCTGCTAGATATGAGAAAATAACTTTTAACCACTTACTAGATATACATTCAGATATCACTGACAGTTTCCTTTTCAGCACTTGACATAATTAATGATAAGTTAAATGATTTTATGTAATTAAATAAAATATAGAGAATTTTTGTATGTGATTTTTAATTCTCAAAGCCCAAGTCACACACAAAAGCAACAGAATCAATAAAAACATCCACAAGGCAGCCCACGGCCAAGAAGTGCAGGCTACCTCTCGCCCTGTGACTCTGAGGTCAAGCATTGACTCTAAAGTCCTCCAGTCACAACCATCAATCTTTTATTGTTGATCTTGCACATTTCTTGTGTATCTTCCATGGGTTCAACGTCAATGCTTCTCCAGTGATACCCAAGAAAACCCAACAAGAGAAATTAAGGACTAAGGACTAAGATGTCACTGGGTAGAGTTGAGCTTTGGGGGGGCCACAAACCATTGTAACAGCTAGGATATTTTCCCCTGCCTCTTACCCCTAAGAGTCAATTTCTGTTCCTTAGGGGGTGCTTTCACCCTTGCAGAGAATGCATGGCCTGACCTAATCTAATTAGCTCAGTTAGGACATCACTGCTGCTTATAAAATTTCCAAGTAAAGAATTCCTGAGCTTCTAGCACTGGGATGATTTTTAACCCTGATGAGACACTGAGGACTGGCTTTGCTGAGCATCATAAAACATTTCACTTACCAGACCTAAAAATCAAGCAAATCCATAAAATTCAAAGGACTACATAAGAATGAATTGACAGGCAAAGACAATTACCAAATGATTTACTTCATTATAAACTATTTTAGACAATTATCATGTTAATCTTGATAAAGATCCTACATTGGTTTAATTTTCTGCTACTAAGCACTATATTCAACTTTTCATCAGTTTATTTTTCAATTATTTCAGACCTTAGGAAATGTTTGATATTATGTGCAAGGCTTGCTTATCCTTGTTATTGCAAATGAGTTACTAGCACGTCATCTGGCCTTAGCCACAGTCTATAAGAATAATTAACACCGAAAACTCGTTGTACTTTCTAACATTACACGAAGCACTTCACCCTCATTTAAGCTGACAGCACAGGAGATGGTCCTTTACGATACTACACACTAACCTCAAATGGTCTCCTGGAACCACTTACAACACCCGAACTATAAAGCTCATCATAAAACATTCCAAAATATTGGCAAAGAACACAAATGTCAAATGTGACCCTGACGTGAACGTCTGGTGCAGAGCAAGATTTTTCTTCCCCAGTATTATTTACTTCCACCCTAAACCAATAAAGCTTACCTAATAGATCTTTGGCGCATGTGGTGAGGGTGCCAATGATGTTTGTGGTGAGCAGTTTCAGAAGCTCATCCTGCAGCACAAGGTCAGGATCGACCAGTAAACATGACTGCAGAAGCCTAAACAAGGAGGACAGGTACTCAAGGAGGAAGGACACCTATGGGACAAAGCAGACGACGTCAAACACACAGATCTCATGAGAAGGCCACCTCACTGACAAAGCATTGTACTTTACTACACATTAGCATCGGTCACTTCTTTGTAACTTAATACAAAGATTATTATTAATTGTAATTTTTAAAGACATGAAATGAATACATAGCAAACAAAGCATTATTTTTCTCATAAGCGTGTCATTAATGGCCATACTAACACCGTCAACCATAATAATACCAAACCAAGTAATATTTTCAAAGCCAAATTTTGAATTCTATTCAGAGAAAGAAAGCCTTATAAAGGCTTATAAATATAATTTTTCAAGTAGCTATATTGTAGAATCAACATTCTGGAAGAAGCAGGAAATGGCATTCCAAAGCCATAAAGCCTACAATTTTGTAAAGAAAGAAAGAAAGATTACAAAATACTCTTCAAAGGGCACAGATGGGTGGTAGGAAAAGCTAGCCTAATAGCCTACTTATTGCTACAAATAAAATGCAAATTGTTCCATGTTTGCCCTCAACTAGCCTTCAGCATAAAAATACTACTCTTAATTATCAAAGAAAAATTCAGTCTCCCCTATTACCAATAAAATCTCTGGAATGTTGCTTTATACTAATATTATAACAATATTAACTGGCAAAAGTACTTAAAAAAATAATTCCCTGGATAAGTAATAAAGAAAAGGCTGTGACGTCTCATTTATCAATTACACCCCCCCACACACACACACACACAGACACACACGCACACACTTTTTTCCTCCCATTGTGTTCTTCTGTGGGGGTGCAAGTTAGGGGCTGTTATGCATTCGCGGAGGGATATGTGCCTCTAACATAAATGGCCTCAGACTACTCCAAAATAGTTCTGTACTACTTCTAATGCATATGTCTCCCCCCTTCATTTAATCTGCCCAGTGAAATTACATAAACATGCAGATGGCTCTACACTTCTCCTCTTGGGTAAAATGTAAAACTTAGTTTCCTCGTTGCTGTGAAATCTTCATGTGATCCCTTCAAATTCCACACTATTGAACTTCCAGCAAGGCTGATCTCTGGATGTATGAAGTGCTGTCACAAATACATAAACCATGGAAAAGGAGAGCAGATAAGGAACATTAGAGAGAGGGGACCGCTGAATTGTTCAAGATTCTTTTGTGAATTACCATATTAAAGATTTAATAAAATATTGATATAGTTCACAAAGGAGCTCTTTATGTTTGAAAAGCTTTCTTGAGAAAACCAGAACCCTAAGCAGCCACATACTTCAGCACACAGGCACCTGTGGCTGACAGGAAGGTCACGGTGAGTTCTGCGTCCACACTCTGCCCAGACCACCCGCACCTGTTTCCTCCTGCCTCAGGTCTCTGCTCAAACCTCACCTTCACGAGGCCTTTTCTGACCACCTCATCAAAAACCAACAACCTCCCCCACTTGTACCCATCGTCATTTATTTCTGTCCCTACCACTTGTCCCCGCGTAATAAAATACTTTACATTTTAATGGCCGTTTACTGTCTCCTGCACCAGAACATAGACATCATGTGGGCGGGGCTGTGTTTGCTTTGTTTAGATGTACAACTTACTAGCATCTACCACACCATCTGGCAGAGCACAGGCTCCAGGATTTTTCTGGAATGAATGAATGATCTCGTGTAAGGAAAAACAGCCAAGAAGCAATTAGCCTACATGAGACCAGGCAGTGCCATGGTTAGTGTGGGCTTCACCTGGAACTCCCTGCGTGGGCTGGAATCCTGGGTCTGCCTCTGACTGTGTGGCGAGCCCCGGACAAGTTACTCATCTCCGGACTCCAGTCATTTCCTCTATAAAATGAGGCCGCTGTGACACTTCATGGGACTGTCTTGAGGATGACATAAATGCACACAAGCGAGCACCCCATAAATGTGTATTACTGTACCTCTCCATCCATCCCACGAGCCCTGAATGAGCACCTGCCACAGCCAGATACTGTGCTCGGCGCTCAGGAAGCCACGGCCAGCCCTGCCTTCACGGTACCCACCGTGCCTCTGCCCTCACCTCCTCTCACAGGCTCGGCTCCAGTTACTCTGGCCTCCTTGCTGTCCCCGGAAAGGCCAACAGACCCCAATCCCGGGCCCTGCTATGTCCCATAGGACCAGCCTCCTCACTTCTTCAGGTCACGCGTCGCTGTCTGAAAGGCCCTCTCCTGACCGCCTTCCGTGGAGAAACCCTCCCCTCCCCACACTGTCCCGTGCTTTAATTTTTCTCCTTAGATGTCTATCTGAGACGTCATCAGACATATGTGGATTTGCTCATGATCTGCTACCCCACTTGAGGGAAGGATCTTAGCTTTATTCCCTTAAGGAAGATCCTGATATGCGGTAGGGCCTCGATACAGACTGTTGGCTGGACAGACAGAAAAACGGAGGAAATCGCCATTATGCGAATCAGCACAGTCACAAATGAAAACACTGCACTGGGACACCTGTTTCCAAGGTGACGCGCACAGCATCTCCCAGCCTTGTAACAGGGGGTCTGCCTTGTTCACAGAACTCAAAGAAGACACCACAAAGCAAGAGACACTGGGCTAGCCCACCTTTAATCATCACCCCAAAGTGAATCTTGTAGCCCTTCTTAAAATTTGATTTTGAGGTAACCTGTGTATTAGCAACTGTTAAGCATACCTTACAGACAGACTGTAGCTACAGGCCAGAACTTAAAAATAACTGTGAAGGAACAAAAATTAATGTATTCTTATTAGACCGGGTTTTGAAACTACACCGAACTTAGTCACTAAGTATTTTACCTACCCCAATGTGGGTGAAAATGACAGAGATAGCCTAAAATCACAGAAGGGAAAGGGGGGGCTATACAATGCCCCCGTTTTTTAATATGGTGCTCAAAGATATCTGGTTAAACATTTATAGCTGGTTAATGATGGAATCAGGAACAGAATCTAGGTCTTCAAACCCCACTGCTCTTTTCTACCATGCAAAGGTGTCTCACTGAAATGTTAAGCTGCCAATTTGAAACAGCCTCATCATCCCGTGTATATCCTGAGAGATTTCCCCCTCTCCTATGGCTAGTACACCCTCAGCAGAGTTTATGTTTCTGCCACTTACAGCAAACAGACACACAGACGTGAGCCCACAGGGAGACGTGAGCCCCTCACCTGAGCCTGGGTGTGTTCAGCGGGCGGTGACGAAGGCAGTGGGGCCCGGAGCTCCTGGACGCGGGTCTCTATGAGGGTGGCATCAGCAACGCTGTGAAGCACAGAGAGAAAAGCCTTTCGATGATTAGTGGGCTTCAAATTAAAGATCAACAGAGCAGAGCCTGAAGTTTGAATGTCATCTTGAATAGAATTCAAGAGAAAAGATTTTTATAAATAAAGACGATAAATGTTGATGAAAAGGTATCCTATAATACCTCCCAACGCAGGGAAAAACCTTATTAGATACATGTGGGAAGAACGCTAAGAAAAACTACCTCATGAAACTGTATTAAAAGCATCACTTTTCATCTTCACACTAACCCCACCAGGTAGGCGTTGCCAATGCCACTCCAGAGATTCAAATTGGCTTCCCCAGGGCTGACACCAGTGAGCGAATGCCCATAATCAGACCTTCAGGTGCACTGAGTTCAACACCAAAGGCCTTTTGCACACAGCATAGAACCAATGACAAAATCAGAAAGGCTTGTGTCAGGGGCTTATTAGGATTAGACGCTGAAAGAACGAAGTCATGATTTCCCTAAATTTTACCAGAATACTTTGCAATAAAAAGTTCAGTCTCCCATAACTAAATAACTCCCAATGAATTTTTTAAATGATTTTTCAACCATGGGCATTATTCTGGTATGACCACGAGGGAGATAAATCCCCAAACTCTTTCACTTGCATTTGGAATGACCAAGGGGACCGAATATTCCTTAAATGTGGGGAGGACAAATAAGGTTTAGAACCTCTACATTTACAAAAATCAGGATTTTTTGAGGGGGGGGGCCTTCCCAGTCAATACAACAAACCAATACAAGCGGTTTAATAGATCTGAAATAAAAGCCGCAAGGCAGTTGTGGCAAAGCCAAGCCTGCAGCCGAACGAGCCTAAACGGGATAAAGACACAGCCGGTCCGTGTGAAGTCTCGCGCCGAGCCGTGACCGGAGCCTGCGCAGCACAGCCCCACGGCCTGCCTCTGGGAGTGCTCATCTCTTACCTGCAGAGGCGCTCCACCAGCCGAGCGTGTCGGACCGCATTTGCCGTGTCCTTTGGAGCGACCACCAAGAGGCTGTCGAGGAGGCTGCACACGGCAGAAAGGAGAGGCGGGGTGACCAGGACACACTGTCTGGGCACAGGGGCAGCCAGGCACGGGTCGTGAGCAAGCCGTGGGCAGGCGGTCTCGTGCTGACCTAGTATTGAAGATGAGCATACACACGTCACTATGCTGTTTACCTCGTGGTTACGTACCATCTTCCTAAGTGCTGACAATCAGAGGGAGGCCCTGAACATGCCCAAGAGAGGTGGCTGGGGAATTCTGTGAGTGGTCACCTGATCACAGCCCTGATCTGGACACCCCCTCCCCACTATGTGTGTGTGTGTGTGCACGTGTGTGTCCATTGTGCATGTGTGTGTGCATGTGTGTGCACGTGCACACGTGTGTCTGCCTTGGGTGCGAGTTTTGTGTCCAAGCAGTCAGACGCTGAGGAACAAACAGACAGTCCACAATCCTTATGCAACTCTGGGGGCCAGAACTGTTTCAAAATTCAAAATATTTTGGAATTTTGAAAAATAATAAGGTGCACATACCATACATTAATGAACACTTCCCATGGGATCTGGGGCAACACCCATAATACAAGAAACATTTCTGCATGTAGCGTAAGTACAAGCACAGTAAGCAGGTTGGCCAACGAAGCAAAATCACCCTCAAACCAGTACCGGTCAGGTGTACTCAGGGATGGGCCAGGGTCACTACCAGGTGAGCTCTGAGAAACTTTCACTTTCCAGAGACTCCAGGGCTCAAACTGAAGCTATGGGACCGTGGGCCTCTCCGAGAAGACTGAGCAGGGGCTTGCTAAAGGGAAGCGCGTCTGCCTGAGGCCAGCCTTCGCGACCCTCCCTCCTCATGTCTTCTGTAAAGAAATACTGCATTTTGAATAAATTCAGAATTACAGAAAATACAGAATTCCATATACATTCACCCAGGTCCCTAACTAATAATATTTTAGCACATTTTAGCTATCTACCTACCTTCTTATGAACTATTTGTAAGTTGCAGATTAATGCCCCTTTAACCCTAAATTAATCTCCTAAATAGGGACTCTGTCTTTGGTAATCACAGTACAGTCATCAAAACTAGGAAATTAACACGGATCTGGTGGCCTTATCTAATCTATAGACCTTTTCCACATGCTGCATATTGTCCCACTACTGTCCTTTATCGCAAAGGAAAAAGTTCTTTTTCTTGTTGGCTCCAACTCAGGGTCACACTTTGCCTTTAGCTGTCATGTCTTTGGGTTCTAAACTGGAAGGTTCCTCAGACCGGCTCAGTCTTCAGACCCTGATATTCTGTGAGGAACACAGGCCAGCTGCTTTGCAGAACATCTGATGTGTGGTGTTTGCTCATGATCAGGTGCTCAGTACAACACATCAGGAGAATCACGGCTCCCATCTGTCCCACTATTGGTGGTGGTAACTTTGACCATTTGATGAAGGTGCTGTCTATTATGTTCTCCATTGTAAGTGATCACTTTTCCCTCTGTAATTAATGAATTACCTTTTGGGGGGGGGGCTCTTTGGGACTATATATCATCAAGGAAGATTTGATATTTGAAACCAAATAAAACTGGGAAAATTCAGTTTAGGTAATTCCACAGAAATAGTTCAAATAGTTTTAAGGGAAAAATTTAAATACTATTGACAAAATATGCATCACGTGTCTTCAGCATTTCTAGGGCAACCATACAGAAGGAAAGAATACCAGTAAAGGGGGAAGAGCATCGCATTTAAGAAATTCAAACTCATTCAATACATTCAATATAATTTTTATATTTTATCTGGAGAGAATTATCCCAGTTATTTCTATGTATAGTACTCAGATATACTAACGTTTTTATTTTGTAATGATTCAACATTGTAAATCAAATGTAGCTTTATAGATCATGAGAGACTGTGAAAGGTTTTCTTATAAAAGAATTTTTCTTTTATAGAAATTAAAAACTAAATTTCAAAATTAAAAGTTGGATGTCTAAAGTGGCCCTAATATGCATGCGAGAGAAAATTCTTATCCTGTTTTAAATCGCTTTGGGACACGATGATTCCCAAGTTAATCAAGAATTAACAGAACAAGATATAAAAAAGAGTAGCCAGCTTCACTGGGAAATTGCACTGGGTATTTCAGCGGGGAGAACTAAAATCTCTTAGCACTAAAAAACATTACATCCTTAATTCTATTGTAAAGAGATGGAATTCAGAAAGACATCTAACAACACAACAAACTTGCTCTAGTTCTAGTCTAAGGCTCATTGACAACATATATTTAATGCTTTCCAGCACTGTTCAGATTTTGGCAGGTTCAAAAAGGCTAAAAGGGTTTTTTGTCAAATACACACACTGAAATGATTGGCAATCAGTGAAACTGTGCATGAATATACGTTCTAAGCATAATCCTTAAAAAAAAAAAATCCAAGAGTAATGAAACAAAAACAAAAAAAAAAATCAAAGTGTACGTGCACAAAAATCTGTACATAACATTCATAAATTATTCATAATAGCCAAAAAGTAAAAAAAGAAAATCCAAATGTCCATCAGCTGGTGAATGGGTAAATAATGTGTTTATCCACGCAGTGGAATATTATTGAGCAATAAAAAGAAATGAAGTGCTGATTCATGCTACAACATGGATGAATCCTGAAAACATTATGTTAAGTGAAAGAAGCCAGTCACCAAAGAATGCATTAATATGATTCCATTTACATGAAATGTCCAAAACAGGCAAATCTATAAAAAGTAGATTAGTGATTACCTAGGGCTGAGGAGAATGGGGGGGGGTGAGGAGTGACTGTTAATTAGGGTACAGGGTTTCATTTTGGGGTGATGAAAATGTTCCAAAATTGGTTGTGGTGATAGATGCACAATTCTGTGAACGTACTAAAAACCAACGACTGTACACCTAAATGGGTGAGCTGTATGGTATGTGAGTTATATCTTCACAAAGCTGTTCAAAAAAGAATGTGGCATGCTTTTAGAGATAAATGTTCCTGAAATTCGTTATCAAATTTCATTTCATGCTCTGCGTCTGTAGCTATTTAAACAATCTGAGTTTGCTCCTTTTGTTCTTAAGAGAATAGAGTTAAGTACTTTCTACAATTAAACACTTTTGTATATTGTCAACGTAAATTACTAAAAACCAACATGGGACACTATTTAGGAAGGTATGGAATATTGTAATAAAAATACAGAGTAAAGTCTTAATGAAGCAAGAATTTCTGAAGTTTTAGAAAGCACTTTGTCTGCAGATGCTTATACTTCAGTGTTTAAAATTACCTTCTTTTTAGCTGATGTTGAATAATATTGTATGTCAACTACAGTCACGGGACGTGGAGTAGAGAGTGGGAATGGAGTCAATGGAATTGTAATAGATAAGCATGATATCGGGGGTGGGAGGGCAGTGGATGGGGAAGGGGGGTTGTCACTTTGTGAGGGGTGAAAAGGATAACTATTGCATTGTTCTGTACACCTGAAAATAATAATAATAATAATAATGATAATAATAAAAGAAATAAGATTAAAAAATTAAAAATTAAAATAAATAAATAAAAAATAATAAAATTACCTTCTTTTTAGATAGTCTATTCCTTACAGGTTAGGAATTGAATTCTAAGTTGTAACCTTCAAATATAAATGTGTGTGTGTGTGTGTGTGTGTGTGTGTGTGTGTGTGTGTGTGTTTGGAAGCATGAGAGAGTTGGAAGCAGTCCCTAATGTAAAATGTAAAATTTATATACTGCCATTAATAAAAATAAATCCTACACGACTCATCCTGCATTTAAAATAAAATAAAGACTCAATACATTCTGTGTGCTTTAAAGTGAAAGTTTTTAAAAATATTTAGGACCAGATTCTCTTTACTTTCAGTGGACTACTGTGGTAAATTGAAGTGTTCTCCCAAAAGAGGGGAAAATGAAGTTATGTAACTCATATCCATCAGTTCCCCGATTCAAACACCACAGTATCTATGCTTAACTGATACCGAGAACCATCTGGCAACCAGACTATTTATCTGATGGCCAAATTACCACTTATTAGTTAAGAGTATGTGTTTTGTTACTTTCTGATATAGTTATTCTAATTTATTCTATCATGTTCCATGACATTTCATTTTGTTCTTATCTAGACATTTAGTTCTGTGACTTGTTTCATTATGTTCTTATTTAGACATTTACTTTCAAAATATCTGTCTGGATCGACATGTCCTTTTCCGTTTTGAAAGTAAAACGTCTCCTACAAGGATACCTTGAGCCGCAAACTGGTCATGTGAGACTTCAGGGAGAGGCGCTGTTGAGGGCACCAGGGGTGAAAAGTCAGCACTCCCGGATGAAGGCGTCACCTACAGATCAGCAAGAAAATAATTTTACTCACAACAATCGCGCAGTGTTACATGGAAAATGAAACACAAGCAATACACACACAAGAAAGACACCCTTAAACAGAAGGTTTATAACAAAACCACACACATTAGTCTAACTGGAAAACATTCTATATCTGAGAGCTACAATAGTAGAACGGCATTTTCTATTCCTTCTTATAGGACCTGTTACAGTTTATGTAAATCAGTAACCCAAAGCAGTGATGTTCCTATTTGAAGCCCATTAAGGATATTAAGGTCCCAATAAGGCCTATTTTCTTTTATTACCCAAATGATGAAGGGCTAAATTATACTACTTCAACTATCATTCACTGTGTCCTTGTGGTATTTCTCATTTTCTTTTTTATGAGCTTAATTAGTTCATTCATTCATTCACTCATTTATTCTTAGGCTCCACATATAAGAGACATCACATGATATTTGTCTTTCTCTGTCTGACTTATTTCACTTAGCATAATACCCTCATGGTGCATCCATGTTGTTGCAGATGGCAAGATTTCATTTTTTAGAGCTGAATAATATTCAATTGCATGTATATACCACATTTTCTTTATCCATTAATCCCTTGATGGGACACTTAGGTTGGTCTCATATCTTGGGTATTGTAAAGAATGCTGCAATAAACATGGGGGTGCGAATATCTTTTCAAGCTAGTGTTTTCATTTTCTTTGGATAAATTCCTGGTATTTCTTGACTCATAATAAGCCATTTTTTTAAAGTTTCAAATGGCAAACACAAATTTTAATAGTGTCTATGAAAAAATTAGCAGAAGTATTAAAAGATTTTTCTCTACCTCTCCCCATATTGCAAAAGAACTGTTTAAAAAATTAAGCAATATGCTGACACTGTGTTTTAGAACATAACATTTTTTAAAACATTAAACATACAGAAATTCAGTAGAAGGCAAACACAGTTCCACTACAGGTTTATAGATGAGCAGACTGTGTGGTCTCCTAAAATCGCAAAAGCCCAAACTAAGGGTTGGGCACCTCAGCTCCTCTGTGAAAAATACCTTCTATAGAGAGGTGATATCACTCTTTTTCTTACCATTGGTTTGTTTTCTCTGAGACAGCACCAACTTCCCACACCTGGTGCGGTCCATGTCAATGGGTGCCTACAGCAGGAGCTGCCAACTGGACTTTTGAATCAACTCTACACAAACTCACATACATACAGCTCATAATATTTGTTTAGATTGCATACTTATCCTAATATTTCAAGTAGGGTATCTTAGATTGATATAATAGAATGAAAGCAAAAACCAAGGTTATTTTCATTTGCAATTTCCAATAGTAAAAAGAATGTAAATTTGAAGAAAATGGGAGATGAAATTAATAGCTTTTCAAATCCCTCTTTCAACTTGAGGCCTTCATCACCTCTCACCGCTTAAAGTATGACATTACACTAACAAGAAGTAAGTGACAGAAAGCTGTAGCCAAAAAAGGTAAGCTAAGTACATAGTCATCTAAAAAGATAACCTAGATAAATTTCAGTCCAAGTAAATAACTCAAACAAGCATGTATTATATGCCTTATTTTATATAATATTAGACCCACATAAGAAAAAAAACCTAAATTTTTAAAAATTATATTTGCTTGCGACTGACTATAAGAGATGTATTAAAAGAAATATTGCAGTCAACAGACATGCAGATCACTTGACAATCATACACCAAGACTGATATCACAGAGTACGCAGGTCACTGACATACTTGGCTCCTGTCCCCCAAGCTCCTTTGGTTGTGGAAGAAAATTTAAGACACTGACGCTGGAATCCTTTATCTTTCCAGTGAGCATCCTTTCAAATGACTGACGCCCAAGCAGCCCTCACGCCTGACAGAAACAGAGACAGCATCAGCAGGAAGAGAAGTGGTTACGGGCCCATGAGACACCTGGCTCGTTAGAAGAAAGCAAAGTTGTGATTCGTGACCAAAGGTCAGGCATTAATAAAAATGATTTTCCTCAGTCCAGTCCAAGGAGGGGATGCACAAATTTAGAAAATGGGAATTTAGAAAGCACCCAATAGCTATATTATAACTTACCCCGTGTAGTTGCGATAACACAGGGACTTCTTTATATAGTAATATATTGTTTAAAAAATCTATTATGTGATTTATATTTCTATGAGCCATCCATATTTTTTAATTTGCTATATTAGCATATTTTTATAAGACTAAAAAGTATTAAACTGACCCCCTCTAGTTCTATGCTCAAATCTTTGCTTGTCTGAAAATAATCTGCAGTGGATCGGTATTTGATTATATTTGTAAATACGCATCAATATGTAAATATGTTACTTGTTATCTTGAAATTCACATAACAACTAGTCAATTTTGAAATTCAAGTATTAGCTGCTGGGAGGCGGAGGTTCATATGAGTGCCTAATGCGACAGGTAGAAAAGACCTGACTAGTCCAGGTCCTCGTTTAGAGATCAGAGCCACAAGTAAGGGGCATGCCCACGTTTAAACCTAATTAGGCTTCTGAGACCAGGGCTGCAATGGTGACAGCGCAAACTTCTCAGGTCAGGACGCTCTCAACAAACCTGCAGAATGCTGGCCAGCCTCGTTTGAGAGGCCATGCTTCTTTCTCCCCAGTCTCCGGCGTCCATGGAGAAACTTCAGCTGGACTGAGCTCCAGCCTCGTTACCAGGTGGACGAGGTGGGGGCTGGCTCGGTGTAAAAGCAAACTGAGCATGCTCCGTCGTCCCACAGCAGAGAGCATCTATTCTCATTTGCTCTCTACCCCACAGAAAGTACGAGGCCAGGGTTGTCCTCTAGTAACAGTGAGTCTAATTCCCGTATCTATCACCTGCTCTATTCATTAAAATGGCCCCAGTGCAAAACTACAATCTAGATTTTTCCCTCACTTCCATGTATGCCAGAGAACCCATCCTGAGATTTTCAATTTATATTCCCTTGATCAGACAAATAAAACTGAAATGTATCAATACCTGGTATTACGGAAGGCAATAAAAGCCTGTTAGTACAGATAGACTGATCCTACTTAAAGCTACTGTCTTAAAACAGACTCACATTTTACTTATAAAAACTAAAAAAGAGGGCCAGCCAAGTGGCGCATTGGTTAGGACCTGGCTTGGGATGCCAGCTCTGAGCAGCAGGGCCCCGGTTCAGACACCACATGAGGGCCAGTGACGCTGCGCCTTCGACAGCTAAGATGGTGAACAACAGCTCGACCTGGAGCTGGGCTGCTGTGAGTTGCCGGTGACGGCGTAGACTGCAGTGGGTCTGCAGTGGGCTGCCATAAGCTACCATGTGTGGCTGGCAGCCAGTGTGAGCTGCCAAGAGCCACTGTGAGTGGCTGTCCAATGGCCGGCGAGTGACTGTCTCACCCGGGAAGAGCGCAATGATAATACCAACTTGGGCCAGTGAAGCGACGTCCTCCACAACTAGACTGAAGAACAAAAGGACAGCAACTTGTCTGTTCCCCTTCCCCGATTCCCCAATAAAATCTAAAAAAAAAAAAAAAAAAAACTAAAGAAGATAACCTTTTTGTCAATGCGTTTATAGATTCTATAACTAAAGCAGCTTTCTAAATCATGCTTCACTGTAAAATATGCAGATACCATTTTAAGAGTTGCTTTGAAACAGCGGAAAGTAGCAAAGTCATTTATCATATCAAAGTAGAATTTGAGTTAAAAAATTTTTTCTTTCATATACACAAACTCCAATCAAATGTTCAAAAATAATTTTCTTTGTACCCTGCCTTATAGAAACAAAGGAGTTCACCAGATACTTTAAAATATTTTGAAAGTTAATTTAGGAGCTGTGTATTTTATTTGTCAAGATGATTTTATAATACCTTTCATCCTCTTTCACTGGAAGCAGTATTGGTGCCTAAACAGGCTGTTTGATTTTTTTTTTTAATTAAACGAGAACAAAGGAAGAAAATGAGGATTTGTGGTACAAAAAAAAGATAGAATACACATCTACTCACATTTTTAACGCATAGTAAAGATAAGGTACAAGAAGTTTCTAGAGGATTTTAGGTTTCACGTGTTCGTTTTTATAAACAATACCTTTCTCTATATGCCCAAGAGCAGAAAAGCTCTGACATGCTTCACAATTTGTAATCGTTAATTCTAACCAAATTATAACAAGAAGTTCAAATCACTTTAAGTGTATAAATTCATGATTCAAATAGATTGTGTACAATATAGAAGAAAGAGAAAGCTCAGAAAAAGACCACTGCAGAGTCTACGACCCGAACACAGCCCTGGGTCCCTAGGCTGTGCGGCACCAAGTTCAGAGAACGAGTTTCCGGGCGCCTGTCCCCTCCCACCCCTATTAGCTCTGTGAGCTCAGGCCAAACACGGAAGTGCTCTAAGACACTCTTTCTCCATGTGACGGTGCGGCACTCAAATGGTGCAGACTGAACTGAACCCATCTGCGGCAGCTCACGGGGCGGCAGCGCACAGCAAGCTAGCAGGTGCTGCCATCTGAGCTCTAACGGCCAAGGTGTCGGCTCTTTCCACACATGAAAATTTACTATATAAAACAATTGATTTTTACCCAAATTAAGAAGATATGTTTTGAGTGGCTCAGCTGGTTAAGAGCTCGCTCAAGAGTATGAGCTCTGAGCAACAGCAGTTCGATTCCCAGCCCGAGCTGAGCTGCTGCTGAGCTGCCAATAGGTGGCAGGATGGCTCAGCTAAAAAAAAAAAAAAAAAGATAGAACTAAAATGAGACCCAAACCCATTTGACTTATTTCCATTACAGTTCCTGCATAATGAAATTGCTGAAATCTAGTTCAAAATGTTGTGGTCAGTTTCTTTAAATGTTTGCACTTGACAGAAATAGCTATAAATCTATTAACTCAGTTAGGAAGCTTCAAACATACCAAAGTGAGTACAAAATACAGAAAAAAATACTATTTGCTCCTTCTAATAATTTTTTAAAGAATAATTATTACTATGCGCTATGCACATGGCACAGAATATCCTATTCTTACCTGCCATCGTATTCATTCTAACATCAGACACAAAAAATTATTATATTAGAAAAAAAGATTGAGGTATCACTAACTGTCAAACCTAAGCTTTATTAATAGAATCAACATTAAAGTTTTATACCAAAAACAAACCACTTGTTAATTTTCACTGTACGACAGCCCAGGAGCCTGTCGTACAGATACTTAGGAACTAGAATCTCACTTGATTTTCCTTTTAACTAAAATATGCAGGTTCTTGGAGCCTCAGTAATCCTAAGGTAATTGAAATTCATTTAAACAAATACATCACTGTCTTTCTCTCTCTCCACTGTCAGGCAAACTGCCATCTCCCCAGGATTTCCTGGGGTCCCCAAGCTGGAGGTAGGTACAGGCCCCATCACTGATCCCTACGTCAAAACTACTTTTCTTGTAAAAGCCTCTTAGATCCATTCTTGCGGGAACTGTCCTTGGTCTACTCTCCATTCTATAAACTAACTTTCAGCTTCCATCAAACAAGTGTCTGTTGTAACGTCTCATGCCATTTTACTCTGCTGAAATATCGGTAGATCTTTATAGCTATTCTATCTTCCCTCTTCATATCCAGAAACAGACAGCTCTCCTGGCTAATCCCCATCTCAATCCCTTAGAAACTTTATACCCTATATTTTGCCATGTTTGAAGTATGTGAGTAAGTAGATTTGTACCCTACCGTCTTTCAAGTCCAAATCCTTCTTCTTTCCCTTTGTCCTCTTTTATTTTTTAGAAGACCAAATGCTGGTCACTGAGCTGCTGCTGCACAGTGGCATGTGCCGGGCACACACACCTATCCAGTTGGCATTCTGAGAACCCGAAATGGGATTTCAGGAGGAAAAGCGCTGGCCTGACCCCGCTGGGGAACCAGGGGTTCAGTGGGACGGAGGCCACCTCGGAAGAGCTTCTTTACAAGGGCGATGCCCCCAAGGTGACAGTGACACTCCTTCCTCTATTTGTAATTGACAAAACCTACGAGTGGCAATCCTTTCAGAGCTTGCCAAACAATTAACCCAATACTCATTAGAGAGACCCTCCACGTCCCTAAGGTGGCGTCAGCAGCAGAGAATGGCTGACGATCCAGCGCACTGGGTGACAGGACACAAATCAAAAGACAGCGCTTTCCTTGGAAAGACAACATAGAAAAACCAACAAGCCAATCAACAAATTGCATCTTTTCTCAATTCTAGGAGATACACAATATAATTATATAATAAACAGATGAGCGGGCCAGCCGGGTGGCGCGTTGGTTAAGAACTGGCTTGGGACGCCAGAGGGCCCCGGTTCGGATCCCACATATGAGGGCCAGTGACACTGCCCTCCACAGCTAAGATGCTGAACAACAGCTCAACCTGGAGCTGGGCTGCCGTGAGTCGCCGGCGACGGCGTGGGCTGCAGCCCCTGTGGCAGTGGGTTGCCATGGGCTACCGTGTGTAGCCAGCAGCCAGCGTGAGCGGCCAGCAGCCGCAGTGAGCGGCCGTCCAGAAGCCGGCGACTGATCTGCCTCACCTGGGAAGAGTGCAATGATGGTGCCAACTTGGGCCAGTGAAGCAACGTCCTCCACAACTAGATTGAAGAACAAAAGGACAGCAACTTGTCTGTTCCCCTTCCCCCAATTCCCCAGCACTGTTCCCATCCCCCCAATTCCCCAATAAAAAAATAAATCTTTAAAAAAAATAAATAAATAAACCGATGAGGTATAAGGAAATTTACATCCACTCAACTGATAGTGCAATTTGTAATTTCACCATTTTCTTATACCTGAGAAAGCTTAGTTGGTCTGGGTACTGACAGTTTAGGTTAGAAGTAATGCTGGTATAATAAACAAATTCTCCACATTTTTCTCCTGTTGGGACAAAGATATATAGTACCTCTGGCACAGAAACGAAAACATTAACAATTAGTAGAACTGGTGTAATTAGGCTACTTTTGTGAGTAAAAGTCACCAATTTGGTGAATAAAAGCCATGACTGCCAAAACTATTCTGTTTGGAATCCAAAAAAAGAAAGAAAAGAGTTGACTATAAAAATTCTAATAGATAATACTAGCTTTTTGAGAAACTATAAGAAATAAATCTTACATAAAACTATATATAACAATTCTTCACACAAAAAAAAACAACAAAAAACCAAGGGCCAGCTGAGTGGCTCAGTTGGTTAAGAGCTCGCTCAGGAGTGCGAGCTCTGAGCAACAGCAGTTCAAGTCCCAGCCTGAGCTGAGCTGCCGCTGAGCTGACAACAGGTGACAGGATGACTCAGCTAAAAAAAACTAAAAAAAACGATTTCACTGGTATATTTCTAAAAATATATGTGACATCCTAACACAAATAAAGACTTTTACATTAATAGAGGTGCTTCTATGTTAATAATGATTACAAGAAATAACATTTCCAAAGTTTTTCTTGGAAAATCTAGATCCTAATCTATAATATTTATATGTTATTATAAAATAAAGGCAAACATTTGATTTGCTTTTTCTTTTTGTACTTCAATCTTCTTGAAAAGGATAAATACAACTTGATATCTACAGCTCAGAGTTAATTACAGCAATTACTACTTACTGAGGACCTACTAAAAGCAAAGAATTGAAGAATTTACATACAAAGATTTCCAGGTTAGTCAATAGCCCCTTAAGCAAACAAGGTAATCTAAGACTCACCTTTAAGCATATGTGAATTCTGTCCTTCTGTGAACTAAATAACCATCACTAACGCCTCCTTTTTGCATGTAATCATATCATTATTTCTCTTACTGAGACAAAGATATATACTGTTTCTAGCTTGGAAAGGCAAGTATGACATCTAGTGGAGCTGGAGTAATGATTCTGTTTTTCCAAATAAAGTTCCAAGCACTCAAAACAAAACATCCTATTTATTTAGAAGGTTCAAAAACTCTTGAGTCTAAAAAAAATAAAGACTCTTTAAACTGTAGTACCAGTCTCGTGAGAAGCTGTAGTCAATGAATCTTATTAACGGCTGTATATATTCATTATTCTCAGACTATTTTTGCTCCTGGAGGCAGGGGTGCCCAGCCTCTGCCTTCCTAATAAATTCTACAACACAGTAACGGTGTTCCAAAAACACTATCCACTTGAGTAATGCTTCCCAGGTGAGTAGAAATGATTTTGTATGCTTGTAAAACAAATTAAACCTAGTAAAGTTATCACTTACAAATCCTTAGTGTCTCAAACTTTTCAGAACAAAGCAACTTATGAATGAAAAGAAAAAGGAAAAAAAAGACAAGCAGGGACACGTAAATTTCAGGTGTTTCACATAATTAAAACGAGCGTCTATCTGATGCTGTAGAATGCGGAAACGTGTTCATCAGTACCACATCGGAATCACTGAAATGGGAACTTTCTCCAAAGTGCCTTGTCCTTAAGCAACATTTCAGGGTAATCAAACATTATTAACTGCATGGGATCTGTTTTTTTCTTCTATTACTACTGATAAACATTTTTAACTTTTGAGTCTCTCCAAAAAGGTAGGAAAGAGGCTGAAAACCCATCTAAAAGGCTATTCGGGTGGCGATACAAGCAAGGGAGGACCTAGGTCTGCAGACAGCACTTCAAGTAGGTGACAGCCATTGTCATCAGACCTTATGCTTCCTGTCCAGCCTCACCGCTCCACTACGTACGTAAACTGCCATTGTCAGAGATTCAACATGAAGCACTATGCGTTCTTTGGAAGTACCATTGTCTCCGAGGTGGAGAGAGAACTTGGACCTGGATCTTGATTGGACATCCTAGACGGAGCTCTCCAAAACTTGAAGGAGTCATCTAAACCTGTGACAACAGGAAAACTGTCAGCATCAATAGTCTCCTGGATACTGTACCAATTAACAGAAAAAACACTCATTACATGAAACCAATCAAGAACTAAGGCAAGAGGTTTGCTAATGTTTATTTTCTTAATTCATATATAAAGTTTGTTTCACAAAAAGGTGAATGACAATTAGTTGACTGTGCTTTAGCTTCCTCTAACACAATTCTTCAAGCGCACCAGCTCCCAAACTTGAATGTGCATGAGAATCACACAGCTTGTTAAAACAGTTCCTGGGTCCTATTCCCAAGGAATTCATTTCCCCAAATCAGGGTGGAGGCCATAAATCTGCATTTCTACAAGCTCACAGCAGATGTCAATGCTGTTGGTTCAAGGGCCAAGCTCTGAATAACACAGACAATTAAATGGGTCCCTTTCCTAATAGGGACAGTTATTTAGAATGTTCAAACAGTTCATCAAATGTCCTTTTCCTCTTAATCCCTCCAAGAAGTAAGAAGAAAAGTGAATTAGAAATTTACACTTAAACACTTCAGGGTAAAGAAACTTCCTGTCTGCAATTTACTCTTAAATGATTCACAAATATATATACATACAGATACATGCACATAAATGAACTTTATACACACATACACATATACATACATACACATGGCATGAAGGGGCAGATACAGTAAAATGTGAACATTTGGGGAATTCTCTGTACTATTCTTGTACCTTTTTAGTGTGGAAAAAAAAATCAAGATTTTAAAATATTACTTTAAAAATTAATTATAAAATTCAATGTATTTTTTAAATCACTATAAATTACTATAAGACATAATTATTAATATATGTGCTAAGATCTTATACTTAGGAAATCCGAGAGACTCTACAAATAGAAATTCAAAGGTTTCAGCAAGGTATTTTGACTAATGAGTAACATGCCAAATACAGACAACTTTTCGATATATTAGCAAAACAATTAGAAAATTTAGTAGGAAAAGGTCTCATTCTTGATTGCCTAGGAAGAACCTTCCCAAAGTTCAAGACAATAATAGAGAACAAATGTAGAGAACTTATGAAACATTTATATGATTTCAAAAATAGTTTCCATGAAGAATTTCTAACATAGAAAAGTGCTTAGGCAATGTTTAGTGAAAGGAGGGAATGCAAAAATGTACATAAGACGTGAACACAATTATGCAAAACAAACAAAAGCTACACAGAGAAAGAAGACTGGAAGAAAACACACCCAACTCAGCAAAGGTAGCACCGGGGAGTGGGTCTAGGGGTGAATGCTTTTCCTGTGCACTAGTCATTATTTTTCAAACATTTTGTAACAAACACATGGGTTTTTTCACTGTTTAAAAAACGTTACCTTTTATAAAAATATAAATATAATGTACTTACCATTTAAATCACTGCCTTCTGAAGTTCCATCAAGAGCAGCACAATGCAAGTCAAACGTATACCGTCCCAGGTAACAGTGGTTTACCATCTGACTCAACTGTTCATAAAACCGGCAGTGATACAAAAGAGCCTGCAGGGCGGGTTTCCCTACAAGCGCCAGGCCGGAGTCCTCGTCATGCACACAGGGGCCCTCCAGAAAAAAGGAAGAGAGAGAGAAGGAGCCTGTGAGTCCTCACGTCATTTTTGTTGCAAAGACCCGCTGTAGCCCCACCTTCCCCACAGGCCCCTGTCACCAGCCTCGGCCCCTCTGCACTGACAGCAGCCTGATGAGGGCATTACCTCAGGACCTTAGGGCTTGGCGGCCTAAAATTCACTGAAGGCACAGCCTGATCTATTGTATCTCTCGAGGGGCCATTTAGTTTTCAATTTTTCTATGAAATGGTACAGCTTTGAACCATGTAAATACATACTGGAGCCACAAATACAATAAAAGCAGTAGTTTGCAACCTACACAGAATAAGTATTAAAATGTCTGAAATAATGTTGTCCAAATAATTACATTCGAAACTACTTTTATACCTATCAATAAACTAGATAAGATGAAAAGGCTCTTCAATACCCAAGTCTGTCTGCCACTTTACTTCCCACGGAATGAACCCTGCAAAGGAAACGCCCACGATGTGCGCATATCAGACACACTTTCCACCAGGAGGCTGAGAAGAATCTGGTGTTACACAATTTTAACCGCTTTGTACTTTTCTTCAAATAATTTTTTGCACAGCCACTTATTACTTTTTTTGGAATAGCCAATGGTAAAAATCAAGCAACAGGTTTAAAGTTTGCAAATTATCCCAAATATTTATATATATTTCTATTTTTTGGAAAATAATAATAAAATTAAGATTTTAAGACAGATCATAAGGGAGAGAAAAGTAAAAGAGAAAACAGAAATCTAAGTGTCAACAGAAAAGGTATGGTCAAAGCATATTCAAAGTTTATCATTAACTGTGAGATTTGTGTGTCTCTTCTTTCATGCCTCCTCATCACCAATGACATATCAACATTAAAACTTACTATCCAGGGCCGGCCGAGTGACGCATTGGTTTAGAGCTGGCTTGGGACGCCACAGGGCCCCGGTTCGGATCCCACATATGAGGGCCAGTGACACTGCCCTCCACAGCTAAGATGCTGAACAACAGCTCAACCTGGAGCTGGGCTGCCGTGAGTCGCCGGCGACGGCATAGGCTGCAGCCCCTGTGGCAGAGGGTGGCCATGGGCTACCGTGCATAGCCAACAGCCAGTGTGAGTGGCCAGCAGCCGTCCAGAAGCCGGCAACTGAGCTGCCTCGCCCAAGAAGAGCACAATGATGGTGCCAACTTGGGCCAGTGAAGCGACGTCCTCCACAACTGGACTGAAGAACGAAAACGACAGCAACTTGTCTGTTCCCATCCCCCAATTCCCCAATAAAAATCTTTAAAAAAATAAATAAATAAAAAATAAAACTTACTATCCAGGAAGATAAAATAATTCACAAGTCAAAGGTAAAATTACATTAATAAGATTATTTCCATTAGCCTTCTTTTCAAAGATATTATCATAATATTAAATACCTTTCATGGTTTTGAATGTTATTGTGCTGTTCTAATAAACCTACCCACCGCTGTGAGCTTATTATCCATAAATAGAGAATTTACATATTTAAGATGAAATAAGGCTCTGTCATGGCAGCCAGCAGGTGATGGTCGCTGTGTAACTCTCAATGCTGAGTCTAGAAGAAACAGGTAAACAGAGAGGAGGGCAGAACAGGGTCACACGCTCCCAGTTACTATGTTCCAGGCAGGGGGGCCCTTTCCTGCGTCACCTTATCTAAGTAATTATCCAGGATGAAGTCAGTCATGCGCAACCTCAGAGCAATTCTAACATTCACGGCTTCAAAATGTTCCATCTTTAAAGCCACTTAGGACATCCCTAAACGTACAAAACATGTCAAACACAAGAGATTTGCAATAGTTGCTGAACACCACAAATTCAAGCCCTCATTATTATAATTCAGGGAAGGAATTCACAACAAGATGGAAATTATAAACATTTCCGCTAAGTTTACTAGCTTACCTCCAACTACCTAACAAACCTCAGTAAATCAAGAAAATAGAATTAAATGAAGTAGCACAAACACTCTTTTTCTAAATATATTTCATAAAATGCCAAGAATATACAAATATTTTATTACACAGATTATATGAAATTATTCAGAACTTTTACTTTTGCAAAATTGTGTCTCTATAATTGCTTTCTGGATGAGGTACGGCCACCGTCCAAAATTCACAAGGGTTTAAGAAAAGTAGATGAAGGAATATATAAATGTCGAAACCAAGTTCTTCAAAAGCTCTTCAATCTGCTGATTCTTTATTCCATAACGGCCTGCGAAGGCTGATAGCTACACATCTGCTATGAGGAAAGGGCTGCAAACCCATTGTCTTCTAAAATCCATCTTTTCAGTGAAGGAGCTTAATGAATGTCAAGCAAGAGAAATGAGAACAGACACATAATCATAAAATTCTACATCAAAGAGAAAGACGATGTGGTAAAAGAAAGAGTGAGCCACGAAGAGACAAGAATCAGAGGGAACCCAACTTCTGTTTCTCATGAGCAGCACAGAATGTTAGAAGACAATGGAGCAAAATTCTCCTAAGGAACGATTTCCATCTGGTAACTAGCCCAACTATCTGGTAACTAGCCCAACTATCAATGCACTGTAAGTTAAATAAATTTTCAAATATGCAAGAACCCCTGAAGTTTATCATTCATGCATTTGTTTTTAGGTAGGAGTACACTTATTTTGAGGATGATTACTAGGAAATGAAATTCTAACTAAAGAGAAAGGATGCTTAAGGTCTTAGAAAAGCTTGAGATATAATATGGACTAACCATGCAAGAAAAAAGTAAATAGAAACTCTAAGGGGAAAAAAAAATCACCCAAATCTAAATTTTTTATTACATACACATACACCTACACACACAAACTCCTATACACATGTGTATACACATAAATACCAGGAATTCTTCGTCTGTGTGCCAGAGGGGTCAAGGTCCCGGAAACAGAGATAACAAACTATAACACAGCCCACTAAGTGCCTCTGGAGTGAATTGCTGGTGTTCACTTTTTAGAATCAACCTCTCTGTTGAAAAATAGAGGCTGCAGAAGAGAATGTGAATGTAATCAGCCTTCACAAATTAAAAGTAAAAATAAAAATAAAACTGGCAAAGATGAGCAGAGTGGATAGGAGATCTGATGAAAGGATAGGAACAGCTTAGCCACATCTTACCGTGTAAATGAAGAGCCGAGATAAGATCCACAGAGAAGAGCAGAAACAGCAGGGGTGACAGGTGCAGAAACTAAGAAAGGTAACAGAACGGTATCGGCCGGACATTGTTTAAACGAGATAAACACTACGTATCGACACAGTAAAGAAACATATTATTGCAAACATATTGAAGAATTAAAATCAGTAAGAGGTAAAGCTGTCTCTGTGAATGCAGAGGGGTAGTAAATTCATTCTAGGTTATATTAGCTTTTGTAACTATATATTTGTTACCTGAAAAAATAATTTCTCTTAAAAATCCAAAAAATTCATTCAAAATATTTTTATCTTCTCAAAGAAAACCGAATGACCTGCACTATGTACACACTGCATAACCATTACTTATTTTTTATTTGGTTGGTTTTAACGAAGCATGAAAGTTGAGTCCCCACGCTCCACATGCCCAAGCTTCCTAGTGGCAATGGCCTATTAGCACCAGAGCTTGACTCACGGCAGTGACGCCAGGCCCAGCATATGCACAAAAGATGGCCCGACTCAGGCTCTGCACGGATGACTAACGGTACATGGGCTGGAACAACGAAGCCTTTCATGCGCACGCAGGGCCCGCTCTGCAGACCATCAGGAATGGATGGGACTGTCTCCCAGCACAGTGGGGAAGTCAGCGCAGTCTAATTACTGTCTCAAGATGCCTCCATCCTTACCTGCCTCGCCCTCAGGTGGGTGCTGGGGCTGCCGGATCACCTGCAAAACTGCCAGGGAGCGCCAAGGAAGGCAGAGTACAAAGAAAGGAAACCCTTCACATCACTACAAGTTTGCAAAGAAAACAGAAAATCAAGTGGTCACAGGACACTCCAATTAATTTTAAAATATTGTTCTCAAGGATGCAAGAAGCTATCATATTAATTTTTTCATACATGTATTTTACTCCTTGTGTCAGAGTACTAATATAGCCATTACTATGATTCAAAAGGAACTGGAACCAAAATGAAAATGACACTTAAGAAGAACAAAGAATTAATATTTTCAAAAACAAACAAAAAATACTTTGATAGATAACAAAATTTTTAAATGCTGTAATGTAATTCAGAGACTGGGGTGAAAATGACACTAGGTACATAAGAAATCCTTAACTACATATAAGTTATAAATGTAGTTACAATGATATTGCTTCTCAGACAGTAAGTATTTATTGTTTTGTGAAATCAATCCTCATGATGATTCATGATGAACACATTAAAAGATAAAAAATATGCATTGGTAATTATCACATCAAATGTGAAAATGATATAGCACGATAAATGAGTCCACACACACAGTTCAGAGCCTTGTCCACTGGGAGCACATGGAGGCAAGGACCCCCAGGTACCATGAGCATACCTAGAATCCAGGTCTCATTTCCGAATACCATTGTGCATTGAAAGAAATCAGGGCTCTGGGAAAACACGTCTCATTCCAGGCTCGGGCTGGGAAAGTCTATGATAGAACATCCTGCTATTCCAGAAAGCAAGGGAGTGCTCAAAGATTGATGAAGATGTGTGACAAGGACACGCACCTTGATGATGGCTCCTCCTAGCCAAATCTGGAACAATTTGAACATCTAAATAAATAATAATAGATAGCAGATTCTAACCCATGAAACGAATTTGGTTTCCTTGAGTCCACACTAGAGTAAATTTAAAGAGTGAATAAATAAAGGGGGAAAGAATGAAAAGCTCTTCCTTACAGTAAAGTGTAATCAATGAAGAAGAAATGATGGAATTAGAAAATCACCATTTGGCAATCATTCTGCAATAATTGCTTCAGACAAGAATCATAAATAGAAGTTAAAACTAGTGAAAGAAAGTTGATGAGAATAGATATTTACAGTCTCAAAGTGTCTCCCTGCAAAGGAAAAACTGTAGCTCCACAATGAAGAAAACAGGTAGGCTTTACCTGAACCAAGTAAACAAAGCTAATATCACCAATGAAGGACAAGGACACAGTGTATCTCCCAGTACCGTGCACCAAGAAGAATGCATTGAGCCTATGGCTTCATCTGCCAAAACTGCATAACCTAAATCTAATAATGAGGAAGCAGAAGAACCTAATTAAAGCATATTACAAAAACTAAATAGCCTGCATGACTCAAAAATGCTAAGGGCATAAATGTTAAAGATTTAGGGACTATTTGAGATGAAAGAAACCAAACAGATAAGACAACTCTGTGCAACATACATTCTTGTATTGGATCCTAGATTCGGACTGGGGCTTTTTTTTTTCTTTTTTATATAAAGAACAGTAGTGAGACAATTGGAAAAATTTAAATAATTTCCTAGTTTTGATAATTATATGGTGATTTTGTAAGAAAATGCCCTTGTTTTTAAGAACTCACGCTTAGTGTTTATGGGGGGAAAAGTGTTATGTCTGCAACTAGAAACAGTTCCGAAAAAAGATACTAGACAGAGCTAAAGCAAATTTGGTAAAATTATAACATTTGGGGAATCTGAGTGAACGGTATATAAAACTTGTACTATTTCTACATCTTTTCCATAAGTCTAATTTTTTTCAAAATAAAGTTTTTAAAAAAAATAAAATATATGTGCCAAGTCAAAGTCCTACCACAAATGTGGAAAGGAACTAAACAAAGCATGAACAAGTGTATTGACATCACAAATTGAAAACTCACTATATTATTTCAGTGCATGAAATGACCTTGACATTTAAATGTGATACCATTTTCAAGGAGAGAGAACAACTTTCATACTACAAAAACTGCACGCAAACTACTGTCATCACAGATGAAACACAGCAGCGATGTTCCCTAGGCACGTGTGTGTTTAGCCCCACACGCAATAAGCCCCCGAGCATTACGTATGATCATCGGTGAGGCCCCACCACTCAGACACTCCATAAAGGTTTACAGAAATGAACTGAAACAAACTACATAGATAATTCCTATCTAACCTACAGATCCCTCGTATAAGCAACTCCAAAATTCCACTCTGGCTGGTTGTTACAGTTGCAGGGACCTGGACTGATGACAATGGTCCCCAAATGAGACCCCGCATCTTCCACATTCAGCAGTACGAAATCCAAGTCAGACTGTGAGAAGCCGACTGAAGATTCTGGGCAGCTGGGAACCACGACACAGTTCAGGGTCCCTTAGAGAAAGTTTCTGCTTTTTCTCCCCGAGAGAGAAACGTAGCCTTGAACAAGAAAAGACTGACATTCAGTATGGAGGTATCTCAAAAAACTGGAAATGGAACTACCTTATGACCCAGCAATCCCACTTTTAGGTATTTATCCAAAAAAACCCAAGACTTTAATCCGAAAAAATATATGCACCCCTATGTTCATTGAGGCGCTATTCACAATAGCTAAGACTTGGAAACAACC